ACCAACCACAGGTAGGGGGCGCTCTTCCTCGGTAGAGTGTGCCAGTCAGGCCCTAGGCGGCTGCCTAGTATGCCTGTACCCAAAACCGGTCCTGAACACGGTGAGCTATTTCACTTCAGTCATTCAGATTTATGAGTATCAGTACTTTTTCATGAGTACTGAGGGAAGACCCCAGCTACGCTTGGAACTGGCTGCCTCTAAGCTCCTCTACTGGTGTAATCTGAGTATGGAGTACCGTTCCCCATTACCCTGCAATGGGCTGTAACATGCCACACCATGTATACTGGGGATGTTCAAACAACCCTGCCAACAGGGGGCGCAATCCAGAGCACACATGCTGAAGAACAAACATTAAAGACCAGGAAGGGGATGAGAAAGTGAGAGAGAGCGAGAGAAAGAGAAATATAAAGTGTCTCCTGGAGAGTTCATTGGACATGACATCAGTGTCGCACACTAAGGGCAGAAATTTATTGAATAAATAGAAAACTTCATATGAATAAGTGATGAGTCAAGCAGGCTGTGCAGGGGGTGGTCTGCCTGGAAACTGGCAGGTTACAGGTGCGTGGTGGTGACCTCCCCAGGCCAGCTGGCAGCTTTATCTGGGGGTGTCTGGGACCTGCCAACAAGGTGTAACCATAGCATGAGTCAGGCCCAGGAAGCCCGAGGGCCCGTGACCTGGTGTTAACAAGACACAGTAACCACAGTGTTACCAGAACTCAGCAGAGGGATGAGCACCTCAGGTGAGCCGCCACGCCGGCCCGTTCATATCTTATTGTTCCTACCCAAAAAACCCAGCATGCCAAGTCTTAGCTGCGTGGCTGTGGGACACCCGCCCCGTTCCCGGGTCAGTGCCGGCTTCCTGCAGCTGCGCCTTTTCCCTATTGAGAAGCACCCTAATGAAGACCACACTATCCATCACTCCAGTCCCGGCTTCACCATTAGGAGGGAAGATGTCGCCCCAAATGTGACACGGGAAGCCCACAAGTGCATACACACCCTTAGGTTATGAATTGATTCTGTTTATGGCCTGCTCCAGGCAGAGCAAATTATTCTTGAGTTTGGGAGTCTGGAGGACGTTTCCTGTGCTTGCGTCCTGAAGCGTGATTAATCAGCCACGTCCCTCATACCCACAAAGTGGCCAGCCGCCCCTAAACTGGTTGAACCGACTAACAGGTATCTTGAGAGGGGAGCCGAAGAGCACTGTGTGTTGACACTGCCAATGACAACCCATCAAGCCGGCCTACAGATTGCCAGATATCCCCACTTGCCGCTCTGCTTTACGGTGACCTCCAAACTCGAATACGACCAAAAGTTTGAGGAAAACTCCGTCTCCTAAAAACACTAATGTGGAGAGGTCAAATCCATCAACATCAAATCTGAACTTTCATCGCAAGTCCTGGCCGTATCATTTTGGTACTGTAGATCCATAAATCTTTCATCTGTATTTTCTCTGTTTCTTGTTTTATTTCTGATGCCTGAAGGCATATCACTTATGACTTAATTACTGATCGCTCAATGGGAATTAAGCGCAATGTGTCCCCATCAAAGTTCCGTAATTCAAGCCCAAATTATCTGCAGCAGAGCGGGACTGCAGGAGAGCACCGATAACTTTTAATTAGGTGACGGTTAGGCAATGCGATGTCCCCCGAAAGTCGTCTGCGTGGGCAGCTTGATTCCTGAGCTCCCCCTTGGCTAAAAACTGTGCTTCCCATCAGTGTGTGATGTGAGGGACACTTGCCCACACACACATGCATGTCAGCCCCCCGGGGGGGACTTCCGCATCAGGCTGGGAAACCCTGCCACAGGTTCACGCTCACATAATACTGTCAACAGCCCCTAACAGGAACAGCCCCCATAAGTGCAGCATAACTCCACGCTATGACTAAATTAGTTCCATAGACAGCAATTTTGTCTTTTCGGAAGAACAGGAAATCTGGCACGTCCACAAGAACGAATCAAGGCATCCATCAATCTTCCATTCCATTACTTAAGTAGAGGATTGCAGGGAGTCAGGAGCCAATCCCAGCAGGCATGGGGAGAGAAACAAGGGACACGCTACAGGGCCTTTCTGCAGCACTCACCGCCAGTCCATCACGGGCCGCGCACACACACACACACACGCACACGCACACTCGCACACTCGCGCACACGCACACACACACTTACACGCACAGTCACGCACACGCACACGCACACGCACACTCACACTCACACACACAATTTATATGAATATCTTTGTGAGGACCATCCATTGATTTCTATGGGGAAAACTCTAATCCCAACATGACAACCTTAACCCCTACCCAGCCCTAACCTTAACCATAACTAACCAAAGAAAATACGAGACTCTTGGCATTTTTACATTTTTGATTGCACATTTTTGATTGTGGGGACCCGAAAAATGGTTCCCACAATGTCAAAAAATCAGATTTTTATCACATTGTATGACATTTGGTCCCCACAAGGTAATAATATATAATATTACCACACACGCAACCACACACACACTACAGACAATTTACAGACACTAACAACAGACAGCCTTTCTTCTCTAATGACATATAACACATACCTGATCACAAACAGGCATTACAATGTGTAACACAGTCAGCAGGGGTCTAGCTTCAAGCGGCCGGGAGACTGCAGGTCAACTCTTGACATCATTCAGCTTTGGCCATTACGAAGCGACGCAGCGATTCACTCTGCTTCCACTCTGCGCTCTTATCACGGACGTCAACGAAGACGCTTATGATGAAACCGACTTCCTGCTGCTTTCCCATTACTTCAGTAAGTCACCGTGTGGCTCAGCTTGGCATAACGGTGGTCATTTCCTTAGTGCTCACTCCTTAGAAACCCCCCCTCAGTATTTCAGGCCCACACAGTGGAGCTGAGAGCAAATGAAAATGCAAAGCTTTGCGGAGTCCTGTCCCCCGCCCCCCCCCCCAGGTCAGCGGCTTATCTGTGGAAACCCAGCAAACACAGACTCAGGTAAGTGTCAGATTCGGCTGCAGGATTGTAACCCAGTCTGGAAGAACCGTCGAGCGCCACTGTGGACGGCGACCCGGATCAGTAATGAGCAGGATGAAAGATTACCCTCAAAATAAACGTTTACCAACTGCGGCGGAGCAGGCTGGCGGCATCATTAGGGTGACCCTTCGCGTCGCCCGCGGGCACACTCGTACCCACGCGGTCAAACTCATTTAGTCCCCTAAATGAGAAAAAATTAGATGGGGAAAATCTGAGTGCCTGCTCAGGGTTAAGCGTGTAAAAGCCGGAAACATGGGCCCCATCATCCATGCAGGCGGAAGCCTGGCAGATGCCGGCAGGGAATTATGTGTAGGCAGAGCGCATGCAAGTGGAATAAAATCCAACAAATTAAAAACACGTATGAAAAAGGACTGACCCCTCGCAGATAGAATGAACGTGTCTCCTAATGAGGGATAAGGTCAAGGACAGAGCACCCTGGACGCAATAAAGTCTGCAGCATTGTTATTGAGGCAAAGGGCTTTTATGAGTAATCCACAGCAAACACCATTGCTGATACTCACTCCCTGCTACTCTGATTGCATGCTCTGAAACACACACAAATTTGACAAACTGTCAGAGTTCGCCAATTCATTTACACTCTGGCGTGTCATGGGGCACCAGAGAGCAGGACTGAACCCAACAAACACGCTAAATAAAATGAGAATTGGGATCCCTTTAAAAATGGTACAAGTACTGAACTCGAAAAAGGCAAAGGTAACACAGTAAGATCTATTCCTAGCAAACAAACTTCAAAACAGTCCCACCCAGCTGGCAGTAACACTTCGATCCAGCGTGATTTACAATGACTGCGCTCATTTATACAGCTGGACAGTATAGGAAGCAATTTGCTACACATCTATAACCAGCCAATCAGGTTCAGGCTCATATTTCATCCCAGGGGGGTATTCCATGAAAGTAGCTAAAGAAAGCCAGACTTTCCTGAAAAAGATAGACTCAAACTAGCGCCATCACTAAACTTAGCCTCATGTTGTTCCACTAATACAGTTCAGCTTTAACTAATGAAGGGTCATACAAGACAGACTTGCACAGTCTCACTTAATTCGCACACCCGAGATATTTACTGTAAGAAGCCCAAATGAATGGATGAACGATAGATCGATCAAATGAGCCGGAAAGCGTGTAAAACGAGAGCAGTGGTTTTTCCACTGCAGAACAAACGCTGCTGATGGAGCTGTATGAAAAATACAAAGATGTCATCATTAAAAAAGGCAATACTGTGGCCATAAACACAGTCAGGGAGTTGGCTTGGCAAAGAATTGCAGACAGACTAAATGCATAAGTTATGTAAACGTTACAAGAGCCTGGCACGGTGGTACAGTGGCATACGCTATCGCCTTACACCATGAAAGTTCCTGGTTTGATCCCGATAGCCAACGATGAACTTTCTGGGTTAAGTTCATGTGTCATTCTTACTGTATAATGTTATTCTGTATTATTTGATCTCCGTAAAATACTTTCAATTGCATCCGTGTGAAAAGTCCTGCACTAATAATCGTATCTTGTCTTTGCTTTCAAAGTAGACTGTGACTAAACAAAATATAAAAATATCGTCCTGTTCATATTATTTTAACGGATTTTTTTCAATTTGTCATTGCATTTCATGTTTAACCTTTGTAATATGGGTACGCTTTTCATCATCAGGCGTTCTTTAAGACAACGCTCAATTAACCGAGTTAACCTGGTCCGGAGCAGAATTGTTCACTCGTGTAAGTTACCATGGTAGCTCAGCAGGGATTCATTTAAGACACATTGATGGAACAGAACTCCCACTTAAATGAGCCAAACTTGTCGATGTAAGTCAGACTTTCCCTTAATCCTGCTTTGTGGAACACCCGCCTGGTCTATTTCTGTGAGAATATAGAAAAACATCACACTCCCTAGTGTATGATAACATGAATAGTAAGGGCCAACTCTCTATGAATGGAGCCACTCTAAAGGACACTCACATGAGCTGCGGTCCAGCAGGAGGTGCTGTGAGCTGCTCGCTGCTTTCCTCAGAAGGTGATGTCATCGCAGGGGGAGTGAGGGAGACGCACAGAGAGAGACTCAGGATCTCTTATTAGGTCTGCCAACGTTGTCAAGATCCACCCCCGATGTGCTTCTGTTTCCTACAACATTTGAATCATGCAGTGCTGTGCAAAAAGAAGGCCAATAAATATGGGGGGGGGGGGGCGCGTAAGCAGACGCTGGAGGCAGCCGTGCTGCATTTTGCATGGAACAAGCCTCGCTTTGCGCTCCTTTGATCTTCCCTCTCAAGTACCCCGCTGTGACTCACCAGCCACGGTTCGACTTGGTGGGGAATGGTGCAGACGGGAGCTGGGGGCAGATGCTTCCCTCGCTGCAAACAAACAAACAAACAAATAAATCAAAACAAAAAATAAAAAGTCCAAACAGAAACAGAGGGACAGAGGTCTGCCGGGGAACAGATCCAGGTTTGGTCTGGGCCGGTCTGGTACAGTATGTTGAGGATTTGGCACAAAATAGGTGGTCAGGAAATGGGCCCCATGAGAAGTGGAATCACCCAGAGTAGCATCTTGATGACTATGTCTCCACAGGAGATAATAGAGGGCTGACTGGACAGAAGACGCATCTATAGTAGACATGGAGCAGATAAGCATGGAGGACTGATAGTCCTACTTTTTTTTACGGGAGCAGGTGGGTCCTCAGCCATTGGCTGAGACGGGAGCACCAGTGATGAGCAGCGCAGACATTGGTCACCTCTCTGATCAGTCTGGCCAGATTTTGCTACTTTGACAGCAAGATGGAAGTTTTTAATGTCTTATTTAGGGTCACTCCACAGAGGCATCTCGCATTGTTACTGGGAGGAGCGACAGCAGATACAGAGGATGGGAAAAAAATGAGGGGAAGAATCCATCCTGCATTCTATTTCAGTAATTCTATTTAGGAGTGTAATATTATTCTGCTTGGCTTGGGTTGTCTGCATACCATTTGGTCGTTTTCCAGTTTAAATTAAACATGTTTGAGTCAAGGTCTAGTAAACTCAGAGGACTTATGAGAAACAGGTTCCCAAGGCAACCAGGAGGGATGGGCTGGCCGAGGGAGGCGGCTCAAAGGGGGGGCTAGAACAGGCCACTTGGTTCGGAACAGGCCGGGTTTTATGGGGGGAGCCAGAGATAAAGCAGGGCACAGGAGCCTCGTTCAAAGTGTGGATTAAACAGAAGAGAGAGCACAAACAAAACCAAGCAAGCCTTCATTTTGCGCAAGGCAGGCCGAGTTTGCTCTCTCTCTCNTCACTCAGTTATAAACGAAATAAACATTATATACTGTATATACACATACATAGTGCATATCTCACACACACACACACACACACACACACACACACTTCATACCTTTGTGAGGACCATCCATACATTTCTAGGTGAAAAACCTCAACAATGACAACCCTAACCCCTACCCAGCCCTGACCTTAACCATAAGTAACCAAACAAATAAAAATAATTTTTTTATTGCAGTTACAGATTTTTATTAAAACTGAGCTTCATCAAAATAATAGATTTGGATCACATTGCAGGGCATTTGGTCTGCTACACACACACACACACACACACACAAACACACACACAAACACACACACACAAACAAACACAAACTTGCTCTCTGTCAGAATGATGGACGAAGCTGTGAACTCCGCTGGCGGGAAGCAGCAGAGGTGCCCAGGGAGAATGTGGGCAGAGAAATGCGCTGAGTGGCCAACAAGTATCTAACTCATTCCAGTACCAGATCACTCTGAGGTCAAGGCGGGGGGTAGCAACAGATACAGGCAGAATGAAGATATCTGGGATGGCCCTGAAAAAGCTAACAAGTAAAGGTGAAAAAGTAGGGCAGAAGGAAGGAAGGAGGAAAAAAAGGAATTAAAAGCAAATAGTGACCCCTCACAGTAAAGGCTGGAAATAAAGGAAGTAAACGAAAAATGAAAGAGACCCAAAGCCCCTGATATAAGTGGGCTCAGGTCGATCCTTCCGCACCCTGGACAGGGGGCATTCGGGTGGTTCCATCATCAGCCAAACTCTCAGTAATCAGTCAGCTGCTACCCGCAGTGCCAAAGTCCCATACCCATTTAATTCCCATTTAACCCAGTTGGTGGTCGACAGCTGGATCGGGAGCCTTGTTTACCCCACTGTTACCTCAGGCGGTCTCAAAGGTGGGAGGAACAGTTGTGGAAACAGTCAGGGAACCATAGCGAACATGAGGGTGCTATACCCTCCGTAACACATTCACGGCGGGCCTTGTTCCATCCGGTTCTGATCCAGACGTCTCTCTCACTGAACACCAATTCCCCTCATTACCCCGGGGAGTTTGCACATCTCAAATGAATGGCGGCATTATGAGATGAACAGCGCCCATGACATTTATTGAATAAGCAAAACATTGGCAAGAAGTTTCCAGGAAGGTGTTACCCAGATCAGGTCTGTCAAAAGCAGCATCTACAGGAAGCTGTCTCTTTGTTTTAAGATCAGTGATACACAGAGAATGCAGCTCATTCACAGAAGAAAGTCACCTTACACCTGCAGGACGAGATCACAGGTGAACTTTCAAACTACAGCTGACTGGCTTCTGAAACAAAACTCTGAGCTGCCTAAACACGAAGGGCGATTCTCCTAGACGCCCACAAGAGTGGCGATCCATGTATATGCAAAGAAAGCCAAGACGCACAGGCAGCTGATTCCACACTTTTAGGAGATATGTATACCTACATTTTAAACGCATTTGAACATTCATCAGTTTATACATAACCTCACATAAAACCCATTTGAAATACATATTTATATATAATAGCTTTACATTACCTCTCGCAGTTGTTGCCCATACATAAAATGCTACATGCCTAATGAATGGCGATTCATCACAAGCACTCACACAAGCTCGCGTTGGGTGAAATGAACGCCTGCATGCTTCCTATCATTCCCGGGAGACGGAGATTCCCAGTCCAGACAGAGAGGTTTCCTTCCCTCTATGGTGCTCTGGTTGATTTCCCCTGTTCACCTCTTGAATCAGGACCATGTTCTCTCCAGCACACGTAAAACACCAGTTATTCATTAGTATCAGGAGATCATTTGCCACATTTGAGGAAATAAAGAGGATACTCAATTTCCCCACTACACCTGCAGAATAGTAATCTGCACAAACAAACAGCCCTTACAGAAACATGCAGTCACACTCCGAAATACGGCTACATGTCACTTTCAGAGAGAACAATTTGTGCAGGTCTGAGGGCTGTCAGAAGCACACAGAATTGCCGTGTAAGAACATAATGATATATATATAAAACAAAATATAGATATTGCATATATATGGAAAAGGTTCAAACATATATACGCACTCCCAAGCATCCACCCAGTCATCCATCTTTTGTAATTGCTTATTCAGAACTGGGTCTCAATGAGCCTGGAGCCACAGGTGTGGTGTATTTTACACAGGGATCCGCGATTGGGGTTCCTTCTGTTTAAGAATTGTTTTTCAATAACAAAACCTCCAAAATACATCCTATGTTTCTGTGTGTTGCAGACGGTGAGATCCAGATCATACATACAAAGGGATTACATTACAAAAAGGATGCGAGCAGGAGATAATTCCATGTAAACGGCACCACCGCCACTGCGGCCCGCCCAGCGATAAGCATCGATTTTCCATTCCCACTCCTGGTTCCCCGTAGGAGGAATTTCGGGGGCTGATAAGAGGCTATGAGGAGCTGTGCATGATAAATGAGAGATAAAAGGAGGAGAGAAAAGGAAGAAGCTCTATCTGTAATCAGTTAAGCTCTCTGGTTTCGACACAATTCCTTGACCTTCTTTGTTAATGTGTTGTACCAGCTTCCCTGTGGGGCTGTTGGATTAAGTCGGGATTAATCTGCTCACTCCCCTGGCTGAATACACACAGAGAAGTGGTGACAAGTGTCAACAACAACTACACAACTGAGGGAGAGAGAAAGAGAGACAGAGAGAGAGAGATTCCTACAGGATTAGTGTGCTACAGTTTCCATCAAGTTAAGACACTTAAACCACATTATACAATCATTCTCAACACACACAGTTCCTCCTGCACAGTAATGGCTATAATTATGCAATAAAATTATATGCACCAACAGTAAAAGAAATGGAATACAGTTTATGTCTTATGACTGATGCATTATTCTGTGTTAAATCCAGCTTGAGTTCATAACGGCGCATTGTATAGGAAAAAAAAAGAAAAACACCATGTTGACAGAATTACATACGCAGACTGAAAGACCTTAAGTGAAAATGTAAGATCTGCCAGTTTGAGAGGATAAAGACAAAAGAAAAGATTCCTCTGAAGTCAAAAACAGCAATAATGAATGACAGCTTACAAAGGGCATGTGTGATCTTCAAAGGGGTTAAGGTATGAACAGTTATTTAAGTGTGCGTGTGTGTGTGTGTGTGTGCTAGTGGGTATACCTTACCTTATGAGGAAATAATGTCCCCACAAACGCAATGAATACCCGTTTTTTTTCTCAATTTAATAAAAATCTGTGACTGCAATGAAAAAACTAAAATTGCAAAAACTCTTATGGTTATGGTTAGGGCTCGGTTGGGGTTGGATGGCTGGATGGAAACCCACACACACACACACACACACACACACACACACACTCCGTTTCAACAGGCACTACCATCGGTTCACTGGAGATCTTCCAATAAAGGTGAATTTTAAGTCACAGTGCCCCCCCATATCCTGAAATGAGCCTTTTAAGACGACACTCCTCTAGCCTTGGAGGATCCATCCATCCATGAACAATCATTCAGTGCAGGGTCACACAGGGTCACACAGGGTCACGCAAAGCCTATGCCTTGGCTGGTCGCCTTCCTGGACACTACTGTCCTCATGATGAACTTCAGACAGCAAATTTATTAAAACTATGGAGAGAAACAGGAGGAGGCCCATCTCAACATCAGCAACAGAAAGAAAATCAGGGACCTTCCCACTAATAGGAGAATCCTCATGTGCCATCTGGCGCTTTTGGAAAGGGGGGTGGGAGGCGGGGGGCAGCCATCACAAAGGAATCTGTTTCCTTGCATCTCCAGGAAGAAACAGCCCCCCTGGAAGGGTGTGGTTGGACTAATGAGTCATTTAAATAACGCCAGATGCACAGATTTTAAACTATCATTGAACGATAATATAATTATGCAATCATCCATCCATCCATCCCTCTGTCCATCCATCCATCCGTCCGTCCATCCATCCATCCATCCATCCATCCACCCATCCATTTTCTGAAACTGCTTGTCCTATTCTGAGTAATGGGGGGTCAGGGACGTATTCTGGAAGCTACAGGCACAAGACATCCATTCACCTAGC